CTGTTTAACTGGCAATGTCCGAAATTATTGACCTGAGTCCCCCACAGCTCATTATAACAATCATGCTATTTTAAATTGGAAAAAACCAGTGTGTTGAGTACCTATATAGTAGCCTGTAAAAACTACAATTAACTAGGACTCTGTGCTATCCTTATTCTAAACCGAACGAGTACCCTTTCAGGTGTTGTTGGAATATAAAATGGAATCCTGGATGCAGAATCAATATTTAAATACTTAACTAGTATTAGAAGCCAAACATTATCGCCTAAAGCTACTGGCATATTCGTGCTTATGATGCAAAGGCCTCTTTTCCCTGTGTCTTCTGCCATGGGGCTCCTAACATGCAAAGTGCCTTTGTTAAGAACCCTCCCACCACTGAGAGAGAAAGCTCTATTTACATTTCTTGATATATCCACCTAATCTAAAATAAGAACAGGAAAAAAGCATACAATAAGTTTTGAAACTGTATTCTATTTTTGATGTCCAAATTAAGACAGCTCTCCTCAAAGTGTGTCAAGGAAAAAAGGAGTCTTCCACTAAAAATTAGAATTTTCTTTTAAGAAGTTTCTAGTAGATGAGTGATGTGAGATAATATTTGTTTTCATTCTGCAAAGCACTGTGGGTTTTTTGTTTTGTTTTGTTTTTGCAGAACTTCAGATTGAACCCAGGGCCTTTACATAGAGCTATATCTCCAGCCCTTTTTGTTTTAAATTTTGAAACAGAGTCTCACTAAATTGCTAAGTTGGAGATCAAATTTATAATGCTCTGCATCAGCCTTCCACAACACAGGGATTACAGGCATGGACTACCATGCGTGGGATTATTTTTAACAGGAAGATGTTAAAAATATGTGACTTTCACTGCAGCATTACTACTGTGGGAATAAGCTGGTAGAAAAGGAGAAAGCACATCCATTCATCACACATGAGGAGTCACTGTCAGCAGCCTTCCTAAGCCCATACCAGCAACTGTTATCAGAGAAGAGCAGCATGAGCTTCTTCTCCTCAAATGCCCTGTTCAAACAGCCACAGTGCTAAGCTGGCCTGTGGATGCTGGCATGGTTGGTTTTCAGTAGTGACTTCTATCTTAGAACACATGACTTACGTTACTGTTTTAAATAGCACCTGAGAAATCTGCACAGCCTATGAGGACAAGCGTACCTCCTGAACCCAATGAGCGCATCATTTTATTGAGCACAGAAAATGTAAACATTTGCAGAAGCCTTAGGCAAATATGTTTGGGTTACTGTGTCTGGATGTCCCCCTAAAGCCTCATGCGATCACAGGTGGGGCTTTCAGAGGTGGCTGGAGCTAGTGTGTGAAGCTGGGGTTCATTCAGTGTGCAATGCTGTGATCAAGGGTGTGAGAAGGGACAGAAGAGGCACTCCACTCACTTGTTTTGCTACCTTCTGCTTGCCATAAACTGTTTCTCTTCTTTGATGCCCCTCTGCCATGCCACCCTACTTTAGAGCCAGCTGATTATGGATTGGAACCTCTACAAACTGTAAGCTACAATAAAAACTGCTCCTCCTTTAACTTCGTGTGTCAGGTATTTCTGTCTCCGTAATGAGAAAAAGTAAGAGACTGCTCGACTATTGGTTATTTCATTTATTTATGTCTGTGCTTAAGATTTTACTTTGAGGGGCCGGGGAGATGGCTCAGTGGAATAAGCACTTCCCTAGCAAGTGCAAGGGCCTGAGTTCAATCCCCGGTTCTGCCTAAAAAAAATAAATAAATAAGATTTTACTTTGAAGATATTGGGAATTATGGAACCTGCTCAGATTCTTTCAGATTCTAGGACAGTGACCATCCTCTCATCTTGGGATTCTATAGTGCTACTTGTGAGGGCATGATGCTAACCACACTCCTTTTGCGCTCTGCAAATTTCTAGGGCATCCTATTGTCCTCATACCAGTGCTTTCCCCATCACCCCACTAGCTCAGCCCACTCACAAATAAATGGTCTACCCCAGCTGCCTCCAACTGTCCACTTAATTAACTGAGTACTCAGTCCTGAGTGAGTACTCTATCATTCCTTCTTAGAATGCATTTTTGCTATGTGCAGATTATAGCTGTGCCCTCATTAAGGCACTGTTAGATTGTGAAACTGTCATGATTTATATCTAGATCTCCTCACACAGCTTCCTGTGGTCATGGGTGGTCTTCCAGAGTTTGTGATTAATTCATGATCCAACACTGGGATTATGGGTGTGAGTGCTACACCTGCCCTGGGTGGGTAGCCTGAATGCAGTAGAAGGAAGGGAAAGAGGCTTGCTCTAGTCGCTCCTCCCTTTTTGCTCTTGTTGCTTTGCTGTTTCCCACCACCATGAACTGTTGCCCTCTGCCGTGTGCCACTCTGCCTTGGAGCCAGCTGATTATGGACTGAATCTCCACAAACTATGAGCTACATAAACCTTTTATTCTTTTCTTTTCTTTCTTTTTTCTTTCTTCTTTTTTTTTTTTTTTTTTTTTTTTTTTTTTTTTGTATTTAGTGCAAGTTCTACAGGGTCTCACTATACAGATCAGACTCATAGTGCTTCTCCCATTTTCAGCCTCCCAAGCACTGGGACTACAGGGATATGCTACCATGCCTAGTCTCAACTGCCATCTCAGTGTACCCCAGGTGTGGAGCCGGCACTGCACATCTGGGATTGAACCCCAGCCGTTGTGCTCTGCTTAAGCAGGCACTTTAGTCAGCTGAGCTATCTGGCTGGCCCTAAACCTTTCTTTCCTTAATTTTGGGTATCAGGTATTTTGTCCCAAGAATGAGAGAAGAAGTACCTGAGACAGAAACTTTAATAGGTCATCACTGATTGGCACGTGCTTATCTCTGTTTGGAGCAGGGCTCTGGACGACACATCACAGAATGCCCTGACCTGCCAAGGGGCCCAAAGGGCCTAAGATCAGAATCACTCGTTGGTGGGGGGAGGCTGAAATGCTAATGACTGGATCCCACCATAGACTAAGGGACCACAATATTTGGCATCAGTATTTCTTACAAGTTTCCCAAATGATTGTAATACCTGATCAGGAATGGAGGCATTAAATTCAATCACAAGGTGGGACAGAGAATCTCTAGTCCTAAATATTAGCTGTAAAGTAGAAAGGCTGATTAAAGACATAAGCTCTGGAATCAGAGTGAGATTCTGACTTTCAATGGTCTATAACCTTGAAAACGTTACTTAGCTTTTCTAAGCCAAGTGCTTGAATAAACGGTGCCTACCTCAAAGGGTAACATGCAGTTCCTTTAAAATTATACTTAGCTTACTCTTTTGGCATTAAACCGTATGTACAAAACACCAAGCACACAGAAGAAAACTGAAAACTTAGGCCAATTACTTTGCTATTTAACTATCTGATTCAGATCTGGATTTAAAATTTATGTATTTCTACCTATTTGAAAAAACATTCCCCTTTCTTCCTGCTCCATTGCAGGCCTAGCTGCTCCAAGATGTTAGCACTGTGCTAATACAAAGCCCAAAGAGAGGCAAAGCTGAAGACAGACAGCATGTTAGCACAGGCCATGGCAGAGCTGGGGAGTACTCACACATGACAGTCACCAGCGCGGCCCCATTTGGGAATAGGAACATGAGCCAAGATGCACCCTGTGATCTGTCCTGCAAGGTAATGTTGAGGACACTGGAGGAACCCGCTAACATGGCACATGAGGGAGCAACCTGTGCCTGGCTCCCACTGTAGGGGTGAGTGTGAGTGCGTACATGTGATTTTTACAAAGTCTGATCATGAGTTGAGTGTCTGACGAGACCCCTGCCCACTGCAGAAGCACTTATGAGCCAAATCTGGCGAACGTGACATTAAGGCTTGCTTGTACTCTTACTTATAGGTGGGCTAGCAAGTGACATGGCCCACAGCTTCAGTAGGATAAATGTGGACAGCAAGTTCACTGGTATTGGAAGACCAGACCATCAAGATGCCCTTTTCTCAGGTCAATAATTTCTGACATTGCCAGTGAAGTGGAAGACCCAATACTATTATGGACTACTGGACTCTTTTAGTATATTTTGCTGAGTTTACACACCTATAATATTCAAATAACGGAACTAAACAAAAAAAGGGGATACAGATGAATGTCCATTTTGTGTCTGTATATTCAAAATGGTTAGAATAGATATATAGTTACATTCTCTTAATGAATAGAGGGATTTGTTCTAATAGTGTCTGTAAGCAGGATATGATGTCTGTATCTTGTATAGCAATTAACCACTAGGAAGAATGTATGCAAAGTGTTAATTATTGAAACTGTCCTACCAATTTGGTTTGAAACTGTCTCATTGCTATTTGTTTCTCAATAAAATTATGGGGAAAAAAAGAAAAAATAAAGATGCCCTTCTCACCAAGGGGGTTCACAGCTTCCATGTAGCTCAGGTGAAATGGGCACTTTTTTCTTTTCTTATTCCTCTGTAGAAATTGACTGGCTGGCTGTAAAATTAACATGAGACTATAAAAGATCTAGAATATCCAAGGTAATCTTAGGTGGAGGGGGGTAAAATCAGAGGAGTTGGCCTAAATCCAGAACTGTAGATCCCCTAACAGAAAATTTGCCATAATAAAACCTTATCCTTCCCCCGTTCTGTAAAAAAAAAACCCTTATCTTGCACATAAGTCAATTGTTAAAAAGAAAAGATTATTTTACTAATCACTTCATGTATTTGTGCATCACACATCAAAATAATGCCAGTCTGTTTCTACTGAAACATAGACACAGGATCCCTTAGAGTCTAACCTGGAACCACTCCCCATAATCACCTTTTAAGACTTCCTTTAAAACACTAGCACATGGTTTCTCCCAGTCCTAGTAAGTCACGCTCTTGGAGGTGGGCTCCAGGAATCTTCATTTCTAGCAAGCATCTCAGGCTGATTCTGATGTACTCTAAAATTTGAAAAGTGAATTCTCCTAGAATTTATTAGATTTTCCCCTAAACAACAGTAGTCTTTTCTATCTAAACAAAATTTTGGTGTCATGTGGAGACATAAGACTTACCTTCTCTGGGGGATGGTTAGCTATGAGGGATGTAGCCCTGCGGGTAAAGATGTGTGCTGAATACATGTTTTTATACTGTGTTGCAACTTCTTCACCATCTCGAAAATCAAGAGCACATCGCGTGACATTCAAAGCCTCAATGAACACACAGTGCTCGTGGGAGTAGTAATCTTCACTACCTAGGAGATACCCTACAACAAGAACAGAAGACAAAAATTGTCAGCACAGCATAAAACTTGTTAAACTAATGCTTCAGTATTTAATTGCCTAATACAATTGATTATCCCTGACAAGGCTAATCAAATGACAAGACTCATCAGAGCAACATTCTTAACATCTCTATATTTGGGAGCTGAAATCATTAAAATGTTATACCATAAAAATCAAAATCCACTCCTTATCAAATCTTTAATAACATAGACTCTGTCATGCAACTCCTAAAATGGGTGAGTCCACTTAAATATATTAAAAAAGAAAAACTGGTGGGGGCCTGCCCCTTAGCTCAGTTCATTAAGTGGCTGCTTCAACAAAGCAGTCAGGCTCAGGTTGCTGTGGTTCAATCCCCACAACTCAAGCCAGCCAAACCTGCCCTGAAGGCATTCTGAGCCAGCCAGAAAAAGAAAAAGAGAAAGAAAGAAAGAAAGAAAGAAAGAAAGAAAGAAAGAAAGAAAGACAGACAGACTAGCATTCAAATGCAATAAAGATAAGAATATCATAATCCTTTAAAGCTATCTAAATGGCAAAAATAAGATATGGTTATTGTGATTTCTTTCAGATTTTTTTTTACTGTGAAGTGTTAGTGTACATGTCCCCAAGATTCAAATAATGCCACGGGTTGGTACCGAGCACAGGAGAGGCTGCTGGGTTGGCAGCTAAGGGAGAGGAGTCGTCTTTAGTCAGATGCTGACACCCACTGGTGGAAGATACAAGTTATTCCAGAGGAGCTCTGGATACAGCTATGCAGCCACAGGACCAAACTAAACCGCAACACTCAATTTAGATTTTTCTACTGATAGGGATCTTGATTATGCCCTCAACTGAAGTGGCACCAACTGCCTATTCCACAATATAGATGTAAGCATGTTCCATATTTCCTAAAATATTAAAATACACGGTGCTGTATATTACGATTCCATGTATAGAAATGTCCAGAACAGGTGCATCTGCAGAGACAGAAAGGGAGCTGTACTTGCTGAAGGTTGGAAGGGGTATACAGAGGTGAGATTCTGGGTATTTTGGGGAGGCAGTGATGCAATGTTCTATAATTAGATTGTAATGACAGTGGCACACATTGTAAATTTATTTTAAAAATCATGGAATTGTAGATCTTAGTTGAGTGAACTGTGTATTATGTGACACATATTTTGCTACAAGAGGTGATCAAAATATATGCTGGATGGTTACTTTTTAAAAACAACATGGTAAAAGACATGTTATCATTGATCCCCTCAAAATCCTGCACCTCAAGCACTCACGCCATCCTTCTTGCAACTTTCTGAAGCACTTCTGGAAGTGCTCCTTGGTGAGTGTCTTTGTAAGATACAACAGAAAATGTGGTGAATGCTGCTGCTGAGTGCCATCTAAGAGAAAGGAGACTCCTAAAGCCATTATGATGTGCCTCACCTACCTCATTCACTGGACCCAGAACTAAGTGGTTTCTGGCTCTTCCCCAAAGTCAAGATGAAAGGTGAATGTTTTGAACCAATTCAAGACAGCAAGGTACCATGATAGTGTGACTAAAGGTACAACAGAAGACTTCCAGGACGGGAAGCAAATATTTAAAATTCAAACATTCATGTTTTTGTATCACACCTTGTATCTCCTGATTTTATTTGTATATATATCTTCAAATTATTTTGATAAAATTGGCCTTCCATTTTCCTCAGGCTTGAACTTTTCCTAAATTGACAAGCACCTTAAATAGTTTACATAATAAATCAATTAGTTTTTTGTTAAGGTCTCCTTTTTCACAATCCAATAAATTCATATCATTACTTCCTCAACCTTAAGGTAAATTTTTATATGGTATTTTTCCCTGGCATGTATAATCAGAAAATCTAACAAATCTCTGTGTAACAGAGAAAGAAATGCATCCATGAAAATAATTGCTGTCCTTTCATGGGTGATTCAAGTGACTAGGATGTAACCAAGAAAAAAAAAAAAAAAAAGAACTAAATAAAGCTTCTAGCTTCACTTGATTTGGGTGGACTTTACAAACCAGGCACAGAAGGCTGAGACAGAAGGATTCCAAGTTCAATGTTAGCCAGGGTTACCTAGTATAGGAAGACGCTGACTCAAAACAAAATTAAGCAAACACCCTAATATATTAGTCTCCCATCATCTTTCCCACACATGACATCTCTGACTGCAGCTGGCTGATGGGTTAAAATTGTTTCCTAGGAAGGTCGCCTATCAGTCTCTTCCCCGGCTGTATCGTCATAATTAACAGCAAGTTTAGCAATTCTTGCAAAAAGGACCTTTTCTTTGGAGTTAGAGAGCCAGAATATTTGGTGAACTGTGAGTAACCACAGCAGGTGTAGCGCAGAAGCAGAGCACGCAGCACCTGCACCCTTGGCTGAGACTAAAACATTCTTCCTCAATTTCCTACACAAACTTCGCACCTAAGACACTGGGCAAATTTTTGGGATAGAAATTTCTACCTTACAATTTGCGGCCAATACAGCTCTTCCTGTCCATCACTCTCGAGTTATCACTTCAGAGTGCTCAAAGAATAAGATCTTTCACAGTTGTAAGAACACTGGGGGTCCATTTTCTTTCTTTTTTTGGGGGGGTGGTACCAGAGATCAAACTGAGGACCTTGCACTTGCCAGGCAGGCATGTAGGCTTACTGAGCTAACTCCCCAGTCCTCTCAGTTTGGGTTTTTAACAACCACCAAGTATCAGAGCTTGAGGAAGCAACCTCAGCTTTCCTATCTACAAATACACGTCTTCTATCATTTATGTGTTGGATATACTTGATTAGATAAAACTATTAAAATTGACCTACACAAGGTCAATTCCAGAAGTAAAGCTATTATGGTTTCTATCTAGATGTCCCCAAGACCCTTTGCACTGTCAGGCGGGCTTCCAGAAAGTCACTGAATCATGAGGTGCACCACTCACGCTCATTGACTGCCAGGAGGCGGCTCTGGTTGGAAGAGGCAGTCACTGGAGAAGAGGCAGGAGGGTCTCTCCGCCTCCCTCGTTCCTTCCCGCCTGGCGCTGGCCAACTAGGGGTTAAAACTGAGAGCCAAAGTAAATCTGTTCTCTTCTAAGTGGTGGGTGGTGGGTATATTGTCTTGCGGTAAGCCCGTGACCATGACAGGAACTATTTATTCATGCTCATATGCACACATAGTTGGCCAAACCGACCCCCAGCAACTTTCTGATGTCTGCATGATGCTTTCATCCCGGCAGTCACTCACAAATCTGAACTCTGTGCTGAGCCTACTGATGAGCGCAGCCTCTGCACGTTCAGGAAAAACTAGAAAATACTTCTCTGATCAACTCAATCCCTGACTGCTTTAATCAATGAACTGAGATATGGCTCACATGCCATCCAAGTCACTCATCTAAAGTGTACAATTCCATATTATTTGGGGCATTCACGGGGTCATATAACTATCCCCACTACCCTGATTCTCTGACTGCTTTTAGCAGAACATCAGTTGGGACAATGACAACCACTGTGTGGTCACTATATTCCTGACTGCAAGTCATCTGTCATAGGAATGTGTTTGTTCATGTAGGTCTAGTTAGATTCCTTAATTCCCATAAAAGGTTATCTAGCACGTCTACCTTTTTTTCAAGTGAATTTTTAAGACTATAACTTGGCTTTTAACAAAAAAAAAATCTTAATATCCATAGTGTGCCCTCTTGCCAGAGTATAGATATCAACTTACGTTTCAGCAAAAGCCTGGCTGAAAAATCTCAAAAGAAGTATGGGCTGTTCCTGTAGAATCTGCAGCTGACAAAGCGGTCTACATTCAAGTCTGATTTTAAGTTACCTGAGGAAACTGAAGGCACATCTGGGTTCATCCAGAATGCTGGAGTTGATTAGCAATGCCTGTTATAGAACCAGCTGGGGTAGCGCCCTCTCCTGTCTGAGATCCTTGGATCTGGATTTTAACTGGATCCAAGACAGCGCCACACAACTGGGTATTCTGATTGTGTGGGTGTGGCCTCCATCTACCTCCTGTTACTGAATTGCACTTACGGGTATTAGACTTTGTGTGAACTGAAGAGAATACCTCCAGAAACTTCCATAAGAAAACCACCACTTTTTTACTAAAATGTTTTTAAAGATGTTGTCCACTTTACCTTCTCTCAAAGGAGAACTTTCTCTCAGGCCTAAGAGCCAGAAAATGCTCTACTTACTCTTCCTGAACATCTGGTTTCCATTTAGCCTATAAATAATGTGACTCTTAAAGCCTTTACCTTTTGTTTTTCTTCCCTCTCTGAGTTTACAAATCTCATATTTTAGACTTAGGCTTGACTATGAAGCCCAACTTGAGCCACACTTTTTTTTTTTTTTAATAATTTGGTGCCATTAATCAATGTTTTTGACTCTCCTGATCTTGTTATTATAGCTAGTTTTTATGTTCAATATGTGTTCCCTTTTGACTATGGCAGGCTGTAAATAAACCAAGCAGCAGATGGAAGGTAGGGAGGTAGCTAAATAGCTGGACAGAAAGATAGTTCAGTATAAAAAGAATTTGACAGAAGGATATAGAGCTACTGGCAAGATGAATAGGTTATTAATTATGGCACGGTTTGTAACAGGTTTAAAAGGTATATTTTAAAACAAACTTTAGGTTTCACATTTAATTTTATAGGGCTATCAAGTTCATAAAATACTTTCTTATTATCATCCTATTACCATTTGTTATTTGCCATCCTCATTTTATTACTCTTAGTTTTGATCCAATTATCATAATTGATCCTCCCTGACATAGTGATTTCAGAAATATACCTCACAGATGGGAGAAGGATGCTAACAGATAACAACCTTCTACCACCCGCCCAGACAGAAGAAAAGCAAAACTGAATAAAGCCCTCGGTGAGAATGCTGTAAACTTTTGTAAAGAAAATACTGTGTGCTTGTCATGAAGTACAAACCAAGAGGCTGTATCCGCTCCAGGTAAAAAGGCTCCAGGAGAGACACAGGGAAGACCTTCAAGGCCCTTGGGAGTCTCAGGGCTTCAGTAAAGGGATCTAACAAGCTGCCACACATGCCCACCTCCACCCCAGCCCACTGCAGTGCTGTCATGAGGTAACGTTAGAAAGCGGCCTTCTGGCCAACCTCAGTGATTTGTCACACACTAATTTTCTCCTCTTTCATCTGATGACACTGGGTGCATTTTATGAGAAAGCCGCAGTGAACCCGAGCTGCTGGAGAAACACATGCACTTCCATTACCAAAGTAGGTGTCAAATCCTCGGCGGGTGGGAAGGCATTCTTTTCGGTACATTCCCAGGTGCCACTTCCCCACCATGTGGGTAGCATAGCCTGCTTCCTTTAGGAGCTCGGGCAGGAGCTTTTCATCCAGAGGAACACAGCTGGGCTGACAGGGCCAGATTATCTGATGCTGTAAACCTGTGTGGATCT